CTGTCGCTTCCACGAACGGCGGGAAACGAGGCGGCTCTGATTCTGAGCGGCTGCCTCTCATCCCGGGCGGCTCGGGGCGGCCTAAATCCCCGTTTCGTTTCGTTTCGTATTCTTTGGTTTTTTACCTCTGTTCCTTGGCCAGCATCACAGAGGCAGCGTGTGTAGCCTTTACATTTCGTCTTAGGGGTTTTTCTAAGTTGAACAGAATAGGAGATGTCGTCAGCGGTGATGCTAACCGAACGCAGACGTTTTTACGACGTATTTCTCCACGGTAAACAGAGGCTCCTCGCGAGGCCGGCGAACGTCTGGGAAACGTGTCTCCCCCCGTTAAAAACCTAAGTGATTTTCCTGCATAATAAGGTCCCACAGAAAGCACCCGCCTTGTGGGTGACAAGACCCGGTGATTTCTGCTTCCTAGGACGATGGGACTTTTCATCAAAGTCAGGGCCCATTTGTCTCGAGGGACGTCCGGCCGTAGGTCTTTATGGCCAGATGCTGGACGCCCGCACACACGCCGAGCGACTGTGCCCCCTGCCACTGGTCTCCGGGGACTCTGAGCTGAAGTGAACGTGAGCACGGGACGAGGATGAGGGGCCCCGTTTGCCTCTGCTGGAGGAGAACCACACACCACGGGCAGATGGGACAGGGCAGTGAGTGTGTCGGACCGGAATTTGGGGTGTCATCAGTGTCTGTGTGAGTCATCAGCATCCTCGACCTGCTGTAACAAAGCACCCCAAAGTGGACGGGTTCGAAGAACAAAAACGCATCCTCCCCCGTCCTGGGGACCAGCAGGGTGACATCCAGGTGTCCAAGGGCCTCTGGAGACCCCAGGGGAGGGTCCTTCCTGCCTCGCCCAGCGTCAGGGGCCCCAGGCGTCCCTGGGCTGGTGGCCGCGTCCCTCCCGCCTCTGCCTCCAAATCCTCCGTGTCTGTGTCTCCTTCTCTGTCCGTTATACAGACACTGTCACGGGGTCTAGGGCCACCTGCTCTAGGGTGACCTCATTGCACCCCTTAATTCGATCCCCTTTGCCACATGAGGTGACTCAAGGGTTTCGGGGGTTACGACGTGGACACGTTAAGAGACCGTTTCTGAGCTGACCCGTGTCCCCGAGCGCCCTAGCTAGTCGGGGAGGGGACTGGGGGCAGTGGTGGCTGCTGCCACGGGCACGGACGCCTCTGCCTGGGTCCCACATGTACTGCAGGGAGCCACGCTCAGTGTGGGGTGCTAGCTGACCGTTACAGGCTTAACTGTGCACCCCCAAAACTACACAGCAAAGCCCGAAAGCCAGGACCTCAGAACGTGGCTGGCTGTGGAGATGGGTCTTTACAGAGGGGATTAGAGTAAATTGAGGTCACCAGGGTGGCCATGATCCTATAGGACTCTGTCCTCATAAAAAGGCGGGGTGGGGACACACAGAGGGAACAGCATGTGAGCACACGGGGAGGGGACGGTGTCCACACACCCCGGAGAGAGGCCTCAGGGGGACAAGGCGTGGAGTTGATCTGGGACGTCAGCCTCCAGGACTGTGACTAAATCCGTCTTTGTGGAGTGACCCACCCGGTCCAGGGTCCCTGCTTCTCCGCCTGAGCTGACTGAGACCACAGCTGACCGCGAGAGACACAGGTCACTGGCAGTGACCGGGCAGTTGCGAGGCCGGGCTGGCGTGCGTCAGCGGGGGTGTCCGGGCTGAGGGGTGGCTGCGGCCGGGAGCGGGGTGCCCCAGACGGGTGGGTGAGGCCGTCGGTGAGCCTTCGTCCTATGAACCGAGCTCAGGTGTCCTTTCCTGCCCCAGACAATGAGTGTCCTCAGCCGAGGGAGCTCACAAGTGTGTGCCAGGCATGCGTGAACCCCTCTCGGGTTGGGCTGGGGACAGTGCAACACCGGGCAGCGAGCTCGTCACGAGGATTTAACGTGACTGTCCCCAAATCTCTTATAAGGCGGGCTGCTCGATGCATCCGTCAGTAAAGATCCACGTTCAGACCAAAACAGAGAGAGACTCATCGACACAGACGCAGCTGCTGATTGCCAGGCGGGGTGGCCTCGGGGAGGGGACACGGTGCCAACTGGTTGTAGAAAACGTCACCGGGACGCGGCCACGGCCCAGGAAACAGGGCCAGTGACGGCGTGAGAACCTCAGGTGGTGCCCGGCGCGGACGGTCCTCACGGGGGTCAGTGCGTAAGCTCCATCGATGTCTCCGCACCGTGCTGTGCGTCCGACGCTCACGTCACGTGAACGCCACCTGTAACTGGAAAGAGAGAACCAAGCTCTCGGCGCGTGCAGAGCAGGGAGGCGGCCGCAGAGAGGCCGCCGGACGGCCAGCATGTCCGGCGTCACGGGTCACCCGGGCTGCAGGCTCCGGGTCCCCATGTCGCAGGCGGCCACTGCGACACGGAGCACACGCCCCCCGCCCGTGTCAGGCCGCCGGACCTGGCCGTGGAGACGGCTCTGAGCCGCCGGCGCCCGTGATGGCTCACGGTCCCGCTTTTTATGCATCTGCCCGTTGCCATGGGACAGAACACGACTTTGGTGACATGGGAAGGCGTGAAAGCTGCTGACGGCTGGAAGGAGCATGGGGTGCAGTCACGGGGCCCGGCCGCGAGGCCCCCCCACCGCGAGAATCTGCCTTGGGGGACTGTGCCCGGCGGGCCCACGTCCTCCCGTGACGCTGAGCCACGGCTTGACCTGGCGTCTCTGCACTGTGTCCCTACAGGATGATGACACTCATGTTCCAGCCTCCTCGGGAACGAGGACCTGCCTGCCGCTGGCACCTGGCCCCAAAGTGCAAAACCCGAACCCTACAGATACGAGGAAACGGCCATTTGCTCCTGAGGACGAGAAGGGACACAGCTTGCTCAGCCGTGCAAAGCGGCGACAGTCCTTCCGAGTTCGGGCCCCGGAGCGTGGGCCGGGGCTGGGGCTGCTCCCGTGTCACTCAGAGATAAAAGGGTTTTCTTTCTGCTGCGCCTTCGGGGACGGTTCTTGGGGGGCGGAGGCAGCAAGGAAATGTTTTCATGGTTCTTCCCTGAGCTCCCCACACGAAGAGTTGCAGCCGACGGGGCCCGGGCTGCGGGGAGAGAGAGAGAGAGAGAGAGAGAGGGAGGGAGAGAGAGAGACAGAGAGAGACAGAGAGAGACAGAGAGAGAGACAGAGAGACAGAGAGACAGAGAGAG